ACAAGGAAATAAAAACAAAAAGACATGTAACACAGCCCAATCACAGTAAAAAGATGGAGGAGACATACAAAAATAAAGTAAAAAATACAGACTAAAAATATGAGAAAAATATACTTTAATAGAAAACAAGGTTATGAAAACCACACAGAATTAAGATTAAAAAAAAGAAAAGAAATCTACAAAAACAACTACTCCAATAAAATTATCTTAGCTACCTGTGAACAAATCACATCAATAAAAAAAGCAAAAGAAATCATGACCAAGATAAATTACCTGAATTATTTGATGAAGGCAGTTCCGCTATTTTTTTTTTTTTTTTTTACATAGGCTACATAACAGAAAAATAGCGCCCCACCAAAAACAATACCGCTAACAACACGAAAAAAAAACGCTAATATCAAAGAAATAACGGTGTTTTTCATCAAAACTTACGGCAATAATAAAATTTCTCATGAAGGTAAAAACAGAAAAAAAAATAAATAAATAAGAGTGTGAGAAGATCAAAAAATACCAAAGGAACAATAGCAGGTCAGCACGTCTCGCAATTAATTTTTTTTTTTTAATCAAGGCCAACTGGACGCACCACAAACACGTGAGTCACCCCATTCAAAAAAAAAAAAAAAAACAATGATTCCCCCCCGGAAACGACGAACGCCGCCGCAGAGAGTAACCACAGCAAAAAACGCACGAAATACCCACCAAAAAACCCACACGAACGGTCGACCCCCGTTTGCTTTCCCCGTCGCCGTTCCCTGGCCCCACGCCGGGAAAAATCACGCCACCCGATCCTGCCGCGGTCCCTTCCCAAAAGGGCGGTTGATCCGGGATTTGCGTTGTTCTCCTTTGGGTTTCCTTGGCGGCGGAAGGCCGAGCCCAACGCAAACGGCGCGAGGAACCCCATACGGGCGCCGCGGGCCTTTCTCGAAACATTTTTTTTTTTCCATTGGTTCCCGATTCGGTTCCCTTTTCGGGTTTGCGGCTGTGGAAATGGTGAGGTTCACGGAACCCACCCGTCCTCTTGGGATTGCTTTGGGAAAGCTCTTTTGTTGGGTCCCTTTTTGCGGCTCACCCGATCCCGAAGAAACCCCTAACGGCCGCCACCACCGCCTTGCGCTAAGAAACGTGCCCAGGACGCCGCCTAAAACCCAAGGTTCCCGGCAGGTGTGCCCCGGGGGAATGGAAAGGTAGAGAAGATATTATTTTCACCATGAAACCGTACAAAAAAAAAAAAAAAAAAAATGTTATGGAAGATCGTTGGCTTCTCGGCGTCGCCCCACCACCAGTTCCCCAAGACCACTGGAGAAGAGGAAAGGCGGGCTTGATAATACTTTACACACAGCGACGACGCCGATTTACTTCCCACAGCCTTCCGAATTTTTTTTGTTTTTTTTGAAGGCAGTTCGCGCTGGGCAGAGCGTTATGGAGACAAAAACGAATTCTCAATATTTCAAGGCGGAGAGGTAGAAAACAAAACTCGCACGATTTGCAAGAATCTATGGCGACGATTCCTTGCATGAAGTTGCACATGTTGCTTGAAAAAGATACAATAAAACCTTTAATTATGCTATATTGGAAATTCTCTGCAGCACAAGGATGGAAATCCTGGTTTCATTACTACTGCAAGCATGTTTTGGTATAAAATGGAAGGTGAAAAAAAATTTTCGGTTGTACAAGCCTTCGAAAAAATATAATACTAGGGAATATAAGGTCCAATGTAGCAGTTACATGGGTTTTGCTTTACAACGGGACGAAGTTCGGATGCAGGAAATGGTTCTCGCAATGGCCGGCAACAGGGTTTCATCTTCCTGCCAGCCGGCGGAAATACGCTCAAATTGTTCCTATTTCTCATAAAAAAAGTACACGATATGATTTGGTAAATTGTTATTTGGTTAAGCCCGCAAAAAAGCAACGGGAAAGGAGTACCCCAAGCCCTTCCTCATTTGAGAACTTTGGGAAACCCCAGCGGCAAGCTAAAGTTCTTGAGGGTCGGAAGGGTTCCCGAAAGAACGCATTCACACTTTTGATGCCAGAACCAGACCCCCAACCAAACGCCAACGCAGCGCTTTTAGGCAGATGATGCGTCAGATTTCCCATAACCCAGGCGGTCCAAATAAAACCAACCCTTTAAACGCGCATGGGCCAATTTACAGTTTTACATTGACGCACGCTTCGAAGCGGCAAAGGGTTCAGAACGTATACAAACCCTTTTTTGAGGGCCCAGTTGCGGCACAACTTCCCAGCAACCAAACGGCAAAGTTTATTCCCGGGATCTGGGTTCATCAGGATACTCATGAGACCATTGGGGGGTGTGTGAGAAAAGAGAAAGCACCCTCCAGGAAACAGGCAAATAAATTAAATCGGCCCGCTTTGGGGTTAACCACCCCTCCGGAAAGGATCGTCGAAATTGCCGTGACACCTTTGCCGTTGCACTTCTTTCTTCGGGCCCGGTTTGCTTGCCGAAAAAAAAAAATTTATTTTTTTTACAGCGCCTTTGGAAGATAAAACAAAATAAACCTACAGCCGGAACCGTCCCCGTTCCCCAATGGCTTTTTGCGGCTAAGAAAAGTTTGCACCCTAGAGGGCTTGAGAATGGTTTTGACCACGGGAGAGCGTACCCAACCAATAGTTTTTTATTTATCCTCAATAAAGGCTCAAAAGCCACTTGGGATGTCCGCGCTGGGGTTCCCGAGTTGGTCAAAGGGGTAAGACTTAAGTTCTTATGCGCAAGCTACGTGGGTTCGAACCCCACCCCCGGCAATGTTTTTCCTCATTTTTTTTTTGAATATGAAACGAGATGGCCAAGTGGAACACTAGAATTTATTCAAGGAAACTAAATGCACTCAATAAATGTTTGAAGTGGGTGGTCTCCATAAAAACCAAATTCTTTTTATTTTTCTTTTCAATACATGCGTTCTTACAAATGGCATTCCCCTTGTTGACGTTTGTCCATCGAAAGTTGGAGTCAATGCCCATTATCCCTTATTGTTTTGAGGGAAGTCATGGGCCAGCAAATTCTACTCTTGAGAGTTTTTTGGGTTCATAAGCTACAAACGTAATACAGCACCGGGGCCAGCAGAGTCGTACTGGGACAAAACTTTATCAAAGAATGTCCTGTGGTGCGTATCAGCGTGCTATCAGCAGCAGTTTCTTTTACATATTTCACTTTAATGTGAATGCTGCTAAAAAGGAGAGGCAGGGACCCTAGAGATAGTAACAATTATGCCCTCCAGTGGCGGAAATTAGATTTGGCCGCTGAGGGGACTCAGAGATGCGAGAAAAAAATACATGTTCATGCCACCTACGAGATCCATTGTAATTTCATTACCAATGCGTACTCTACATGCCCAACGGTAGTAAAAACATAATATAAAAACAAATTGTATTTATGTATATTTATGTATTATTCTTGATGGCCCGTTGCATTGGAGTAACATCCATAAAGTGACGAAAAAAAAAAATTCGTTTGGGAAAACAACTGGGAAATCACACTGGGTCAAATAGAATTTCTTCACAATATGTTCTACACTTTCTGTACTATTGGGTGACAACTGTAAACATCACAGAGATGATTGACCCACCAACACAGGGTAAAGAGAAAACTTTGCATTTGCTTCTTCTCGAGGGTAAGGATCAGAAATTCACTTAATCGTTCAAGGCCATAGGATGCTTTGGCACGCTGTGCGATTTCGAATTGCCCCACGAGAAGAATAGTAGCGTTTACTTGTGCAGAATGCCAACAAGAACGCTCCATTGAGTGATTTTGTTGAATGAACATTGGTTCCTGCTGTTTGGGATCGTTTGGGCTGATGCAAGAAAAAACTGGAACGTCTGCGACTCCATTTTACATTTGGCCAAAAAGAAAAAAAAAAAAAGCTCATGATTGGGAAGAGGTTTCCATGGCCTTCGCAAGCCGTCATCCAGTCGAGTTTTCCCCAGTGGCCGGGGTTTTTTTTTCCGTTTTGAAAGAATTCTTCTTTAAAGCGTCCCTCTGGGAAGTGGTGCGGGCCAATTGTCTCGATAGAAGAGGGTTAAGTGAATTTCTAAATATTGCACGTTTCACTATGGGTTTAAAAACTGGGCTAGGAGTCTACCAAAACCGTTTCCCGATTTCTGACGTAGGATAATTGAGTGGTTGCACCCTGGTTTGCAACCCCATGTTGGTTAAGAATTGGTCCTTTTGACTACTGAAAATTGAGTCGGCGGCCACTCTATCACGCTGGAAACGATCGGGTCGCCCCATCGCTCAGATTTATGGAACAAATTGGGACCGCAATTTGCAACCATTACTTTCTCAATAGGAATTGCAAATTCGCTGTGGAGTTGTTCAAATTTTTTTTTGGCGGAACGAGTTGCCTTGAAGGCATAAATTCTACCCTTTGTGTTTTTCCAAAAGGGGCGCAAGACGTTGAGAGATGACGTATTGTGGGACTGGACGTTTGGTTAGTATGCAAAAAGGCGACACCTTCTGTAGTTTCTTTTCGTAAGAATCAATAATGAATTTATGTTTTTGGAAACCTTTTTCAAAGGAAGAAATTTTAAGCACAAGAGGCGGTGGGGGAAAAATGAAAAATATAAGATACTTCTTTTTTTCCCGTTTTCCCCTTTATAGGGGAAATTGGAGTAGACCAATCCTGTTGCATTTATTTTACCCGAAAGAAAATTATCCGTGCTATAAAATAACCTGACTCAACTTGTAATACTTGAAAATCTTTTTATGCAGAACCTACCGCTCGTATTTTTGATGTAACGGCGCAAAGACTGGTAGCATCAGACCCTTCGAAAAGCTTGTTGCGGCCAGGGAGCACCGGAAAACTTTCCGTGGCTCCCTGCTTTTCCTCTGCCACCATCCCGACCACATCTCGCTGAGTGGACTTCGCCCGCGTGCCGCCAAGCTCTTGGACGACACCCTCCCCGGCGGTTGCCCCATCCAACCGACAAACGGCGAAGCAAACCGCAAAATGACAGCGTTCGCATTCTTTCTTTAGGGGTGTTTGGGTGTGGCGTGGTTCGTGGTTTTTTTTTTGAAAGCTTGCGATAAGAATGGCAAAGCCTTACTTTTTGGAACTACAGATTTATGGGTTTTGGTAAACCAAATTCTATTTCTTTTATCTTTACAGTCTGCCTAACAGTAAGTTTCTGAAAAGCCCACCCAACCCAACCCACTCCGCCCCGAGCGGGAAGCGGGATAAAAGGGCTTCTCAGCACTTCCATTTCGTTAGTTTCTGTTATGTGTTAGCAATCATCATCGGGAAAAGATTTGATAGAGATATGTAAATAATGCATCAAAACTTGTTTGAACAATCATGGAAACAAAATATTTTTTCTCTTGTGTTTTATTTCTTTAAAGAGGGAGTAAGGCTAGGGTATTCTTTTACCAAAAAGGTCATTTCCCATCTTGTATCCCCTTCTGCGAGTGCTTTGGAAAACATCCCGATCGATTTCTTAACACCATCCAAAAACTCCAATCCGACATTAGAGAAGGTTTTGCGGAGACTTCGTCTGCCAAAGCCTGGCGGCTGGGAGGGGGTTGTTGGGTAGGCGTTTTTTAGCCTTCCACCCATTCTATGGAGTAGGCAAGGTTCGTGTCATTTTTGCGAGGGGTGGTGGTTCATGGAGTTGGAGCATCTTGTTCAAACAATTAAGTTGGGAATCACCCCAAAGGCTGTACGGAATCCCTCCCCTTTATTTTTAATCTTTCCGCCCTCCGCTTGTCCAATTTCTAATTCTACGCGCGTTTGGCCGTCTTGGTATATTTATAAGATCCCAATAAATAATTTACACACAGACACAAATATGTCAATACACTCTTTTTCTTATCAAAAATAAAGCTGCGCAGCTACAACATTCATCCAACACAGAGGAGAAAAAAAAAGAGACTCCGTATAAGTTGAACTGGTTTTCTGGATTTATCAAATTTCTCTTCACCCATATTCGAAAACCCATTTTGAACTACACCACTCAAGCTTCATTCAACGGTAAGAAAGTGAACCATTTGCTTATGTGTCCGTTTTCGCGTTTCTCAGGCGGCATGCCATTTTAGAGTGGTGGTGAAAACTTTATTTAACACCTCAAGCGTGCATCCGATAAACCATAGAGAAGAAACATGATTGAATGACCCTTTTTCGTTTGCTAAATCTGTATTGGAGATAACTGAACCTTTCCAATGGATTATTTATTTCCTGGTCCTCCTCACTTTTTTCCCTTGACGGACGTGTGAGGGCGCCTCTGTTTACCCTTATACCGTTCAATAACCTCTACCGTAGTATATTTCCAAGTAATTCTTTCTTCTATTATTTCGTTTTAAGAAAAAAAAGCGCTAACAATTATTGTGGTAATAGATTTGCTTCTGGTACTAAAGGTCTGCTGGTTTTACCCCTGGCCGTTGGCAACCGCATGCCGGGAAAAGGTGTGGATTTATGATTCCCCAGCCGCCCTAAGAAGATACTCCAGTGGATATGATTTTCTTACCGGGGCACCGCGTCACCACCACCAAGGTGAGGCAGGCCCTTGAATCCCAACTCGCAGGGCAACACCCTACATCTGCATATTGGAACCCTTGGGCTTGTTAAACGGCTGTTTTGGCACTTGGTCCGTGGGGTCAAAAAAAATAAAATAAAATAAAAATAATAATCAAAGACCCAGATATAGCAGTCATTTCTGGCATTGATGTGGTTTAAAATAAATCACAGCTTTTCGTATGTGTTTCTTATATTGCGTATGCGTTCTTTGGTCGGATATTGTACGCCTTAAAACGTACACATGGCTCAAAGAACAGACGCCATCACTAGGCCAGAGTTCAGGCGCAGCCACCCCACCACGCCTTACGAAGCGACCCTGGCATATATGTATTTCGCTGAAAATTTCTTCTTTCTGTTTCTTTGCCCTTTTTTTCCTTTGGCGCTGCAGCAAATTTCTCCATTGCAAAGGCGAAGGCGAGTGGAACCCATCCAAGCTAAAGCAGGGGAAGAGGCGCCGATGGCGGAAGCCGAAGGGATTTTAAACTCTTTTAAACTAAATCTTCTTTCAAAAGTTTATCTTGAAAATATGCGGAATGCCATTATGTAACAACACCCATGGTTCTCGGAATTCACATAAGGTAGCAAACAGGAAACTGGCATCAACCTCTGCCGCGGTTAGATTTTACGAGCAACGGAAAATAAAAAAAAAAAGAAACGCAAGAAAAAGGAAAGAAACAATTTAAGGCAGTATTGGAGATATTTTGAGGTCCGATAAAGACTCTTGTAGCCTCATGAATTAGATGTTTTCTTGGAGCCCTGGGGGAAAGCAAAAATACCTAAAGTGAGCCTCGCTAATTATCAAATCTAAGGGTGGTACAGGAAACCTCTTGCAGAAAAAAAAAAAACTTCCTTACTTAAAGAAAAAAAAAGGCACTACATACCAATAAATGTATAGTTTTCCTTGTATGTGTTTTGGGACACTTTCTAAAAAGTATTTTCCCGTGACTTGCTGTAGCGAACGTTTTACACTTTAGGAAGAAAAAGGTAAAGTTCCAAAAAACCAATGTGCCAATTAACAAGAGCGGATTGGTTTCCTTTGTGTTCGCGGCATCATATTTTTGAAAGGACTCGGCTCAACAAGGAACTCTTCGCAAATAGGAAGCAAAAAATTCTTTTAGTTTAGAATTGAAAGGCCGCCCGCCCAGTTTGTAGAGGAAGGGTCGGGAAACGCCGCCGTGACTTTCTGAGGCGCCACGCCCGATGCATAAGGGAAACTGCTCTTTTTTCCAAATCGGTCTTTATTTTATCTCCACCAATTGAGTGGTCGCAGTGGTGTTTTTCTTTTTTTGTATTTCCACTCGATTTGGGCCAAAAAATGGAGACGGTCCATAAAAAAAAACGATGTGGGAAGGGAAAAAAAAAGGATTCGCTCGTTGCTTTAACCTGGAAATTTGTGGTCCGTGAATCAAACGATTTCACCCATGACGTCCGGAAACGCAGGCACATTCTAGAAGCAAGAGTCTCCATAAATCTGTGATGTTTTGGGGAAACCTGAAAATATTACACCTAATTTCCTACAAAACCCCACCGTTATAGATCCTTAACGAAGTTAAGCGGAAAAAATGTTTCAAGGAATAATTTTAACTATTTAATTCCCCTTTAAGGCTCAGGGGGCCGCCGTTGTGGTACAGGAGGGTTTTCGGCAGACAAGCGAATCGCCGGCCCTTATAAGGGTTTTGTCAATTAATCTTTCGACTTATTAGATGCAAAAAGAAAAAAAAAAAGATCAACCGTCAATGTGTAAAAATGGATTCTGTAATATCATCAGAAATTGGGTTAAAAAGAGTGAAACAGTATTTTAATGCTCAAAATGTGTATAAATCAAAGTGTTTGAGATGGAAAAAGAAAGAAATATATCAACCACAAAGCATTTCCTGAAGCACATCTTCTGGGATTAGGTAATCTCTTGGAGATCATATCAGTGAAATATCAAATTATATGATAACCAAAGAAGTGATTTAAACTACAAGATCGAAAGAAGATTTACAACAGACTTTCCGTATGGCCATTGTATCTCGAGAAAGTTTTAGTCATAAGGAAAACTCTGACATCATGGCACCCCCAGCTTGGCCAAAGGCAGCGCGTTACAAAATTGCCGGGGCCCAGTGAACTAATATATATTCTCTGCGCAACATTGCCAATTACGCAGAGCAATCTAAGCCATAAAGAAAAGTAAAAAAAAAAAAAAAAAAACGGTATTTGAAAAACACTTTGCATATTATGGCTATTTCCATTGCATTTCTTTTTTTTAGTGAAAATCTGGAGATAAATGCGTGCACTTCCCAAAAAAAAGTGATGCCAACCAACCGCCAAAAGATAAATGAAAATATGTCTTCCAATAATCTTTGAATTTTCGTGTTTTTGGCCGTCGTTTTGTATGAGTTATCGACAGGCGCACGGTGCTTGCCATCATTCTTTCATACAACTAAAATGGTTTCAACCACCACCTGGTGCATCGCGGGTTGTTTCTCTGAAATGAGGTTCATAGGATCAAGGAAATAATGTATTTAGGCATAAAACGCATTAAAAAAAGAGCAATATCTAGTTTTTCTTTTTGCTGTTTCTTGAGTTTTGTTATTTTTTTTTACTGGCGGCCACGAGGTAAAAGAAAAAATTCCAATTCGATTATCAAGATATAATTAAGTTTGCTGGATTGGGGTACGATTCCTGAAACTTTATGGAAACTACCAATTGTTAACTGCCGAGCCGTACTCTCCCATTGCCGGCCTTTATTGGTGGGAATCAATGGGGTTGGAAATCAACAAACCAACCCAAAACAAAAAATGAAAAAAAAAATTTAAAAAAATGGATAAACCTACTATGTTGAAGTTATAAGAAATCAATCGCACGCACCTTCCTCTTCTATCAATTTTTGACTCTCGGGAGCAATTTGCGTTTTCTTCATTCCCATTATTTTTTAGGCGGGGCCATCTGTTTGGTGCAACATAATGGCATCAAAGGCGTCGGCCCTCACAGCACTTCTCAAGGAACGTCTGTGACTGAATGGATTGTGTGAAAATCGTTTGCGCTTTTGTGCTGTGTCGTCTCGGGACTGGCCCACATAATCCAGCCAATCTCCTTTTGGGAAGGCATGTTTCCCCATTTTTTTTTTATAACCCCGCGCAGTCAAACGGTGGTGCTATTTTCCGGTTTTGCCTTCTTCTTGGCGCCACTTATTTGTCGATATGGGGCCTTTCCGGCGCATGGTTTGGCAGACTTGACACGCAATCCAATCAAAGAAAAAAAGAAAGAGTTTTTTTTTTTCTTGGCAAGTGGGACGCTTGCAACCTTTTTTTTTGCGGATGACGTTCTGCAACCGTTGGCGGCAGAAAGGCTGATATGTCACGATTCCCTTTCGTGATACGAGTTTTCAATTTCCCATCTTTTTTTTTTTTTGGTTCAAAAACAAAAGAATAATCCTTTCTGAAACCAATTAGAGTGGCCGACATCGTAGCAATAGTTTGTAGAGACGCCGTGGGTTCCATTGATGGAGATACGTTTTTTCTTTCTTTATTTAGCTAGCGCTCGGTGAATGGATTTGATATCCTCTGCTTACATGAGGGTTTGCTCCAAGAAATTTGGTTAAACCCATTTAGGCGACAACCGCCGGGCAACCACAAAACGAGAAGGATTATAAAGTGAAAATGTTTTTCGGCATGATGCCGGTGGGGTTTTTTTTCTTCGCCCCTGCAGGTTGAAAGTGGCTGCATTTCCCTTGGGTTTTTAACTTGCCTGGGGTCATTTGGGTGAGGCGTTTTCCCCTTTTCTTTCCAAAAGTGTTTTTTTTTGACAGCTTCTGAAAAAAATGATCGAGTATTACGTTAATAGGAATCAAATGGTGTATAGACTTAAACTTCTGCAATATGATTATTCTTTTTCATCTTCACACTCTCTCAAACGTATTTTTCTGAAAAAAATTAAGCTTATAAATAATGAAAATGATAAGTATGATCCGTCTGTCCTACTTCAGAAAAGCGCGGTTGACCAGTACGCAGGCGTTCGCAGTTTTTCTGGCCCATGACGGCTCTACGGCTTTTGCATTTGAATTTCATCCAGAGGAAGCTCTGCATTTAGGTTATCACATGGATAATTTGTTTACACTCGAAAACGGCATACTGATGGTAAAAATGGAGCCAAATACATCCATGAATTGGGAGGCCCGCGCCCTTCCACGATGAGTTTCGCTATGCCAAGAGATGCGGCTTTTCCACATGCCGTTTTGGAACTACGTGTACGGTTCATTGCAGATTGGGAGGCATTGGAAGAAAAACAACCACCATCATACCACCAGAAGCAACGTGCAGGAACGCAATTGGGGGACGACAGTTTTAAGGCAGAGCCAAACGCAAAGGTAAAGGTCCAGGAGATGCAAAGACAAATGACACAAATTTGCCATTAAACCACAGGGGCAACAACACAAATGAGAGAAATGCGTCCACAATTGTGGGCGATTCAGAAGCAACTGGGGGAAAAGCAAGCGCAACCCGCGGCAGCACTGCAGCAACTCGTTCAAAGAGAGATTCGGGCGGTGGAATTATTGCAACAAATAGTGCGGGAGCAACCCAATGCAAGCGCGGCGGAAGACAAATATCGGAATGACTGCAACGCCCTCAACAAAACCATTGATTTACCACAAAGCCCATGGAAACGGGATAAGGCACCAACGGCGCACCAGGAATGGCCTAAAATTAGGATTTCAGGGGATCACAGGGCCCCCGGCTGCCAGCAAGGAACGGCGGCGCCAGGCCAGAGGAGCGGATCTTGCTTTTAAAGGAATAATGGACTATTTGAGGGGGTATTGCCCAACCAATTGGCGACCGCATGCCGGGAAAAGTTTTTCCCATGCCGGCGAACCCTTCCCCAGATTATGGCGAGGCATGGGGCGATTTTCTGCAATGAACGCGCCCTGTTCGTAGTGAAGGGGTGGCGGCGCAACGGGTTCAAATGGGACGATGGCCTTGCGCAATGGCGCGGGCAATAAAAACGGTTAAGGGGCTTCCGGGGGCGAGGGTGCAGGCCATTCGGGGGCCATCGTTGGGCTTCAAAAAAACAGGGCAATCCTTTCATACAGGCCGCCATGAAGTGTCAGGAGAAAAATCCAGCACCACCACCATCCAGCATGGCACGCTGTTTCAGTTGTAGCCGTATCGGGCTTCATAGCTCTACGCGCCGTGTCGCTTTGCTAAAAGAAC